AAGAAATAATTAATAAAATTGAATAGATGCGTAAAATTTTTCTTAACGATTTTTTATTAGCTATGATAATATATATGTATAATATATGCAAATAAAATATAGCTGTTCCATTACATTAAAATGTATCGGCAAAAAGCGAGAAAATAAAAAAATAGAAAATACAGGATTAAATATAAATATCGCGACAAGAATGCATTTTGTGTTAAAAAGTAAAGCGAAATAGTTAATAAGCCGATGGCGGAACTAAACCTTAACATGCTTCGCAATCGCAAGAGGAGCAAAAATTAAGAAGATTAAAAGGTCGAAAAGCCGCTGAAAAGAGTACACCTAGCGAAGCCGGAGAAGCATTTGCGATTGTAATGTACATTAAAATTGTAATCCCCCAACAGTGGCACGGTCCTCTTATATTTTACGCAAAAGTCAAAACATTCCGGAAGAGACAGGACGAATGATCGCTCGTAATTATTCCAGGCTTTAAAATATTTTCTCGTCGAATAGGATATCTGTATAATTCACAGCGTGCTATATTTCCGTGTATAAGATAGATATATCTACATATAAAATATTCTGAAAAATTACATTACACACATCCTATTCTCTCCATTTTTTCCTCCTTATATGAATATCTCGAATTAAAAAAAAAATCTTTTGTCCTTGTATAATAGAAACTTATTTATAAACTCGAGAGAGAGAGAGAGAGAGAGAGAGAGAGAGAGAGAGAGAGATCTTCAAGTAACGATATTTTTTCACAAAATCAGTAATGAAATCTTTAACGTGTATTACTTTTTGTTTTGTTTTGTAAAAATGTATTTCGAAGAAATCTTCGAAATTTGCATTTGGAGTTTATTAATGTCATAATTATCCAAATTTTTATGCACACCTTCGTATTTCATCAGAATTATATATAAAAAAACATCATCTCGCTCTTTATTCCACAAAGTATAAAAATAACGCTTTTATTCACAATCGCTTTTACACGAGACCCAAAACCGACGATCTTTATCCAACCACGATACGATACAAAGACGCGTTACCTGGCGGCGATCTACAAGAAATAATGTGTATACCGCCGCGACAGAAGCGGCAACGTTATATCGTTCATTTCTCAAATCGTGGCAAACGATCTTTCGTAATTATGCGGACATTTTCTCACGGGACAAGCTCGGTGTACGAGCCACGAAATGATGATCTCCACCAAATGAGCCGCCGATGACGCTGACCGCCATACGACGGGCGCACGACCATCCTCGTTGAACCCGCTCGCTAACAAGCCCCATTGCCACTTTATTATCGCGGCCGGATCGCCCAGGAATAGCCACAAATCACGTGGAACTGGTTATCCGGTGCGTCATACGCGCTCCTACATTCGTATATCTCCGCGGCATTACCTACCGGAGTACTTAAACTGGTTCACCTATATGAAATACGATGTGGAGCGTTCACGTGGCAAGCCCAGACAGCAGGTAGATCTCTCCGAAACTTATCACGAGTCGCGATTGCTATTCATGGCCACTTTGATTGCATAATTAGAGCGTGTCATCGAGAAGGAGTCGTCGCTCCAATTCGGAAAGGTAACGTTACAAAAAAACTTCAAACTTGTTATCTGAAGCGATCGTGGGGATTCGTGAGAAATTTTGAACCCGACGTTACATGGTTCACGATCTGATATGTAATATGCTCGCGGCAAATTATATTATCTCTTTTAGTAAGTAACAAGAAAACATTGAATGGTGTATAATTTTTTATGTATTCATAAATATAAGTATACAAAAATGTATACATGTTTATAAATTATAATATAATTGCAAATTAATATTATTTGTATGTAAATCACTATTAAATTGCCACTAAACGCGTTTTTCGAGTTCTGATAACTATAAAAAATTCATTCATGTGCTGAATTTTTGAAGAGCTAATTATTTTCCTCTGTAAAAACAATTTTTCTGCCTAAAATTTGTTTTGCTTAATAAAAGAAGAGCACATGATATACATCTGTCATAAACAAAATTAAAATTTATGCCGAGGAGGAAGGAATACATTTAAAAATTATTATAGACATACTAAATAAATTGATTTATAGGACACGTAAACGTAAAAACGCATTAAAACTGGACTAAGAAAATATCAGTAAACGTAAGATAGATTTCTTATTGAGATCGGAACCATTGTTGCCCGATTACAGCCTCGAAATCAGCCTGTCCGCGCAATTGACTTTCCGATGACCTCGCATTAACTATTCGACGTCACGGTCGATATCCTTTAAAGCGGGAAGATCAATGCCCACGCTCATTCCTAAATCACGCCTTATGACGGGAACAGATGTACACTAGCTCGCCCTGTCGCGAATAGTCCCCGCAATAAGGCGCCGTACAAGCCGCGGTGTACCTGGCTCGGTCCCTGCGGTAGCCTTCGTTCGGCAGTAGCCTCCCTCCTCGCTTTGGATCTACGAGGATACCGACGTCGTACAGCACCGATGTTAGCTTTTAAGCTCCTCGTGGCACTGATGCTCGCATCGGCTACGCAAGCTGGATAACCCGCGGGAGAAGAATACTCGCGGCATGTATGTAAAGACGATTGTATATCTGTATCAATTGTATGCATATGCGGAGTCCTCCACCAACTTCTCTTCCGACTTCTCTTGCCGATCTCCCCCCCCCCCTCCCACCTGGTTACCTGCATAGTCTATAAGTATGTGCTGTACCTATACGTGGGGTATATTTGTCGAGTTTAACCATTATATGGTTTATCGTTATTGTTCGTCACCGGTGGAAGTCCCTATGGCCTCTCTTGGCGACACTACATGCAATGAAAGAAGAAGAGAGACGGGCAAAGAGATAAAGAAGGAAAAAAATATTAGTAACCGTTATTAAACATACCTTATGTGATCTCAATTTAAATACGATTATGGATAACGTGCGATACTAGAATCGCTCTGTAGTATTGAATTTGATATTCAAATAGAAGATTTATCTTTTGATCAGATTGCATTCTTCCCAATCCAGAAAAGATCAATCGAAGATCGAGAACGGAGCGGCATGATTTCTTTTTACCACACGCAAATTACAAAATAATCGCAATTTATAGAAATTTTCTTACGTAGGAATAATTATCTACTTCCTCTGAGCACTCCATAAAAACAAATTACATATTTCTGTTTTCAAGAAATGCATCTCATAAAAATCACGCAAGGAACGATCCCACGAGAGGTATTACTTTTCGCATCTTTTACGAGGAACTTTCATCAACGAGATTTGTTTCCTTGCGGTAAACGATGATTCGTATGGCATTTCGCTGCAATATATATATATATATATATATATGCAGTCGTATAAATGCAGTCGTATTAAACCGTTATGCGTCGCGGAAACTTTGTTTATTTAGAAGTTATTTATTTGACAGAAACATCGCGAAGACGTGGCGAGTCCGCGCGTATCCTATATACGGAAACTTGCGTTGCAAACGCGCAGTGTCGACTTGTAAAAGAAGTAAACGATTAAATTTAGCATCGGTAAATATCCCATCATCGCGAACGGTCTCTCGAGCCGACCTGAGTAACACTAATATTTTAAGCACGATCATACACGGAATGACGAGCACTCATGTAACGCAATTATGTGTATTGCCTAGTACAATATTTGATCTATACAATAAACTGCAAGATAAATTAGTATGAAATTTCATCAGAGAGCAAACTAAGAGTTTGAATACAATGCGGTTACCGATCACGTTCTGTCTTTTCAAGAAAAAACAAGAACAACCTATTATTTATTATCCGTGTTCGCAAGAAACACTTGTACGTCAGTTTCCCTTTCGAATTTTACTCTTTCGTAAACCTGTCATCTAGAATTATAGAGTGTGTTAGCGCTCCAAAAATTCCATTCGAAGCAATTTTAAATAACTGATCGTAGATTTTATATATTTTAAATCGAAGTATTAATTTTACAATATAATCAGACCTAAATATTTTTAAATATTTGCGCAAAAGAATATCTCAGTATTTTCATCACCGAAATTTCTCTATATAATCGTCAAATTGAAATTTCGGTAACATATTTTTTTATCTATATTCTGACTAAAGATAAAACGCTTTTCGCGCGAGCCACATTTGGCAGTGAGACGCGGCCGCGATCTGTGACATTTCTATACCAAATATATCGTACAGAGCACCGCCGCCTCGCACTGTCATATTAAATATTATTTATGTTCCCTCGCGCACAAAAGAGACCGGTTAACTCGCCTGGATTCGAGCTTCGCGTGCGGATGTGTGCGTGCACAGAGAGAACACGCGTTCGATATAACCGTACCGCATATAAAGCACGAGGACCGCGTGGCTCCCAATCGAAAAATAATATCGATCCATTGTTCCAACCGGTCAATAAATATCGTAAATATCACCCCTGAATTATCGGCCCCGATCTTCTTAGCTACGCGCTGGAACACGAGCCGATTCTCGTCCTCGGATTAGGCTTCCCTACTCACGCACTTGAGCGGAACAAACGTGTGGAATAAGATTTGCGTTGGCTCCTTGCATGAATGAAACAGCACGCATTGTATAAGACCGTAAAAATCGTAGCTATGTTTCTACGACTCGATAGTATCCTGTCTTATTGAATTTATAGACTATAAAACATAGTCCTTTTAAGAATACTTTATTATTCTAGTATTCTTTACGAATTTCAAGAAGAGTATGCCGCAACTTTTCTGTTGCACATTATATAAAAACGCTTTTCTCTTTCATGTAACCGTTAATTGGACCGCTCGGCAAAAATTCATAATAACAAAAGCACCATGTCGATCTTTATTGTATTCTTGTGTACGCGTATCCAATTTATTTGAAACTCAAGCAAGAGTTTCGGATTTAGACAGATACCGCCTTTGCACGATAAAAGAAACTTCCTCAACCGTGTATAAAAATGCGCGTATTGTGCATTGTCACAGAGAGGTAACATTATATCACATTTGTCCTCGTGTACCGAACTGAGACATGTATTTCTACTCACGTTTCAGCATCCCTTTGTACGTCGCCTCTGTTATGGATCTGACATCACGACGAAACGATTGAATCTAGAAGAAAAATATGGTCATGTTACTTTTATTAATCTCGACGTTTTTCGTAAAAATAGAACTCTGCAAACGTATCGCTTGTTGCAAATTGCAAGCATTATGTTCAATGCGCTACATCTATAAATAATAAATAAGCAAGACTTATAAATTTTATATTTTAAAACTCGGGATTATTTAATTATGTTCAACCTTTATATTTGTGGATAATTCTGTTACATTCTATAATAATACCGCATCTAGACATTTCTACAAAGCAACGAAGCAACAATTTGCATAATCTTCAAATAAAATTCAGACTTTAAAGCGCAGTTTCAAAGAGAAGTTTATGACACAGGCTCTGCCATCTCTTGGCGGTCACTGGAAACTTCGCTCATCCGGCAGTGATCCTCAATTTAAGGATGCTGCACCACTAAATGAATTATAAAATACAAGAGTACATTGTATCTCTAATTTTCACACTGAATAGAGATATTCATCAATTTTAGTTATTTTGTTTGTAGCTCGTTATAATTTTGAAATAAATTTTGCAATTCTGAAGCGATAGATAGGGAAAATCAATCCAGAAGCAATTGAGAACCAACGTCAAAAAGAACGATTTTCGATGAAGGAAAATCCCTGGGCGACCATACGGTCGCAGTCTTTCCACCTTATCGATATTAGCATAGAAGAGCAGTTTGCAAAATCGTTACACGTCACGAAAGTGCACGTCTGGGCGCACTAAAGGCTATCTCGCCGAATAAAACGACGAGGACTTACTTAAATAACGTATTACGCCAATACGTTCGTCGGAGAAACGCGGCAGACAAAATAACGAAGTGGACTTCGACGATTTCAATCGGACGGTCCCCGATCCAACAGGTAATTGTTATCATTTAAACTGCTACAATATCTGTTAAAATAATGCTTTACCAATTATTTGCAAATGCAAAGATATAAGTAAAATAAAAGATTACAAATTTAAGATGCTAAATATGATATCCATAAGTCAAGAAAATCTTTCACGCATTTCTAATAACAGACTTATTATCATGACTGTAAATTTTTTAACTGCAGTTTGTTTCCTAAAATTGGCGTCCTATCCTTTTTGCGTGCATAATTGACACGCTAGCTAACGGAAGCTACCGTTACCGTTAGACCCGAAGGGTTAACCGCGCGCGATTACGCAAAAGAATGTTGGCGCGATGCACGCACTTTGCATGAATACGTAAATTCAGACGCGGCGTAATCTCCCATCGAATGGGCGAATAGGCACTGGCGAAGAGGGTGCCACAACCAAGGCAGGAGGTAAGTGCGCGGAGAGGCACGGAGCGAAAGAGGATTGCCGATCCATCCATGAGAGATGACGCCAGTCTCTGAATACGGGATAAAACTCCTCGCTGATGCCCGGCGGAGCGATCCGCGGGATGGAAGCGAGAGGGTGAGCCGAGGGGAGAGAAAAAGAAAAAGAAGAATAACACGAGAGAGAGAGAGAGAGAGAGAGAAAAGGAAAGGAAGAAAGAGAAACGCTACTGAATGCCGCGGAAAGTAAAACTCAAGGCAGCGAATCCGAAAGGACGTTGAAGACTCTCCCAAATCCATATAAATTGTCGTATTGTTAGAAGACCGTGTCGCATATCAATTTGAGATGACGCGAGATACATCCTGGAAAAAGTAGCGTCGTCAACGGTCCATGCGATTGCCAGTCGTTATAGCTTCGTTAATGTTGCGTACGCGCGAATCTTCCTGAGATCGCGTGGCAAGGCATTTGCAAAAGTGTGTTGATCTGTAAGTGTCGGTCCACAATAAATATTTAATCTTTAAGCCGTAAGAAATTAACCAATCATAGTCGAGTATTTTTTTCATATTCGACTATAATTGGTCAATTTCTTACTTCTTAAAGCTTAAATCACCTATTGTGGACCGACACTAAGGGGATGCCGAAACAATTTTACGCACTCGTGATAGCAACAAAAGTTATTCACAGTCACAAAAGACGAAGTTCTAACGCCCTCGGTGGCTCGGCTCGAACTGAACTCATCTGTGCCGATCTCTTTATTCCGATAGCAGTCGACGGGATCGGTTGCTAAGTAACCAAAAATCAAAAAGATTCTGATCGCGGCGACGTAGCTAGCAATAACAATGAAACGAAAATTAAATAAAAGCTGCCGCCACCGGCGGAAATCTCCAAAGCGGCGTCGGCTCGCGAGTGTCGGCGAGACCAAGGAAAGAAAGCGACAGCATCGGCTCGCCGCTTACAGATCTAAGATATTTAGAGTTGAAAATTCTTTTTACATACGTGAGCAGAAAATATTTTGTAAATTTTTCTTCATTAAAATTTTTCTTCTCACTGCTTTTAATTTGACACATCCGATTTTGTGGTTTATACACGTTGCGTGGAATTCCAATACGCTCGACAGATTTTTTTAGATTCGCCATAGATACAATTCGTCACTCCTAGGGTGGATTAAGGGGATCATCGTAAATAACGAAACGTCAGTCGATGTATCACCGAGAGAAATTCGGACTGCATTATTATTCTACCCGCGTTTCCACGTCGCACGATTTGCTTCTGTACATATCGCTTCGCGACGCGACTTCCGATCAAAGATACACTCGGTCCACGCGAAAGATTCAAGATGCAAAGATAAGGCGTAACGATATTTTTACGCACGTGAATACAAATTCTGGCTTAGAGTCTTAAATATAATCCAAGGAGATTATCGACAGCATATTATCGATTGATTGATATCTGAATTTTTTCCTTCATTTCACCTTGTTAAAGCATAATATATTATCGATTAAAATACAACTCGGTATTGCAAAGTAGTGCAAGTAGTGATGTTTGATTTAAAACTTGCGTATAATTAAATTCGCAAACTTTTAAATTATTTTGATATATCTGATAGATGCTAAGTATAATATTTTAAAATTTACATATAATTGTATTTCCATGTTTATCGTAGTATTAAAAATTTAAATTCCCGCCTTCTGGCAAAATCAGATTTAATTCTGAACTTACATCGAATAGATTTATGTTCGTTCGGTTAGTTGTCTGTAAAAGAGACTCAACAAAGTCGTTTACAATGTGACCGAGTCTATTTTCGAGAGAATCTCGACTTTGAGCTCGTTTTGCTTCTTACTTGCTGCAAAAGCTATTCAGGAGACGGTTCAGCGTCACTGTCCGAGGGATTGTAGGCCGATATCGGGCGAGTTTAGAAGTAGACCGTTGCGCACAGACGTTCGTATGATCACCATTGGAACAGGCGGCTAAGGGATTTCAGTCAAAATACAACTCCTTGGTACCGGCGCGGTAGCCGATAAATTATTATCTCCCGAAGATTAGCCCCGATGTCGCGACCCTCATAAATATCAGTATATTTTTGCCCGGTAAGCCGATTTCCTTTCTGCCGATGGCTTCGAAACGTAGCGGCTGCTGCCGAACCGCGCGAAATCCTTTCTTACCCCCTCCCGCCTACTGCTGCTCCGCGATCCTCGGCGATCGTCCTCGTGTGGAAGGCTCTTTATAGACCAGGAGATTAAAGACGCTTCTCGTATTCCTTTTTAATTTCGCATCTCTCGGTACCAGCGCGACCAGCGTCAGTTATTTTCAGTGGTAAAACCCGTGTCAGCGAACGCCGAATAAAAGATCGAGATAATCGTGCGTGAGGAGATTCGCCTTCTTTCGATCCTCACGGCATATATCGGAGAATAGTGGTATGGGAAACTAGAAGGAGACGCGCGATACGATAACACCTTTCGTCGCAGCGCCATATATAGGATGTTTATTTCCGTACTTAATACTTGTAATAAATTCCTCGAGCGATTTATCGAAGGACGCGCGGACGATTTATAAGTTGTACAAAGATTTATAAATCTGTGCGTGATTCTTTAGTAATGGAACGAGATCTTTTCCCGAGCGAGATAGACATTCAAAATGTAATACAGACGATTCAATGCGAAAGCTCGAATTTAGCGCAAGACAGAGTGACGTTCTTTTTGCGAATCATCCCTTGACAAGCATTCGGAGCAACTTGGCGAATATCTTGGCAATGTTCGAGGACACAAACGGTTCGCCATTTTCTTCTAGAACGCGCGATATACGTTCTTCTAAAACCTCTTCCGCCATATATGAGCCGGGTCTTACTGCCACGATATATTTTGCAAATCTTTTGCTATTTATCACCAGCGGCATTCGCGAAACCCTTGTGCGCGTAATGCTTTCCCCTTCGTTCGTCAACCGTTTTCATATTTTCGTGCCGTGCTATTTTCTGAAAGCGACATTGTCAGAGATTTCCATAATTCTGAGAAACTGTCGTTCGCACTGTGCGATCGCGCAAAATCTAAAATGCCATTTTCATCTTCTTCAGTAAAGCAGCTAATTTTTACGACGTGCAACAATTGTTGACTAAATATCTAATATGTATCATATACATCAAGCTACTTGCACTGCAAATCATAAGTAAGAAATAAACAGAAGAAATGAGAATACAGAAGTCTACAGAATATATATGAATATTAGAATATGAATATTAAATAATATTATTTTAAAATTTTGTTTCCTCTATAAATTTTGTTTTAGCAGATTTAAATAAGACTTCTCATTTCCAAATGCATTATGCGTTCAAAATAATTATCACAATCTTCAGTAATTCTAATTAATGTATTTGTCAATCGATTGTCAAAGAATATTAAATACTAATTAATTTAAATTTCATTCTGCTTAAAACACATAAAATAAAGTAAAAAAAATTACATTACGATCACAAGCAAAACTAGCTATTCCTAAAAATTCAGCAGCATTCTTATCAGTGTGACAGTGTCATTTTCTACTTTCAAATATCCTAAAGAGATCTCTCTCGCGCGATTCGAAGCCGCGTTGCTTTCCTTTCCATTTCACTCGAGTACAAACATCCACGCCGTGTCCTTTATCACGAGCCTCGCTGTACCTCGAAGGATCGCGTGTCGCGGAAGATAGCGGGGCCGTTTGTAAAATGTAAAATTCGTAATACATCGCCGCAAAA